TCCGGGTCACAAGATTCCGGCACAGAAGGTCGCAATGTGTTGCTCACGATACCACCTATCGTAATAAATGAAAAAAGATTTTACTTTTCTTTCTTCGATTTTGTACTTGGTGACAAGTAAACCCCGTCCTTCATAACACACATACCATAAGAGTTAAGTAACACAGGGAATTGGAATGTGAGTTGTACCAATAATTGCTCCATAGTGCAAGTCTGTATACGGCTCTTCTCCAGTAAGAAGTTCCCACATTACAATTCCAAACGAGAATACATCAACCTGTAGATCATCCATTCGAGCAAAATCTTAATTAAGAAACACGCTACTATTTTTTCCTGTTTACAGTAACATGCATTCAGCAAATAATTTAAAATCAACTAGCTATTCCCCCTTTCCTTTTCCTTCCTCTGGAAAATAACCGTGCGAGGAGGAGACGGGGGTTGTGTGCAAGTGTTCAAATGATAGTATGATCATAAAGAAACCTTCTCAGACACAAGGCTGCTACTGCCATTAAGAAGCTCCGGTGCCATCCATGGAAGAGTTCCCCTCACGCCCCCTGAAATTAGTGTCTTACATTTTACCTTCGACAGCCCCAAATCACCAACCTGTTAAGTCGTTCAGATAAATGAGAAAAAAGTACTAGGTGATTACAGGATAACTACAAAACACTGCTATAAAGGAATACAGAAGAATATTTCAGGATTATCCTAGAACACTGAAATATTGGATAATCAGGCAGGAGGAATCAAGAGAACTGTTTTCTACATCATAATGTCGGATTAACCACAAGGAATGGAGTCCATGATGCATACCACTAAGATGGATAACACCGTTCCTATGACAGCAAACTAACAGTTATTAAACACACAAAGAATAAAATTTTTGCTTCAACTGGGCTCTTTTGTACAGTATTAAATACACGAGAAGAGAGAATAAAGTTGTGTATGCAACATGAATCTATGAGAAACCATGGAATGATACCATGCCCACCATAAGAACACTGAACACAAGTGTATAAATCTACGAGATCATGTGAATGATAATTTAAACACGTCCGAAGTCCTGTGAAATAAAAGATCTCTAAGTAAAGGGAAGTAAGGGACACATAGGTAGACTATACAATAAAATCTACTTGGTGGTAAATATAGAGTTCAAGACGTACAATCGACAACTTATACTAGGGTTTGTAGATGGCAATGACAAGAAACTGAAATAGGCCCGAATATTTGCTATTCAAAAATCTTTCGATCAAACATGTCTAAACTGTATTGGCTGAAAACATTCTTATGCAACTTACAGTTTTCAAACAAGGATTAGGATAAATTCTTAAAGAGATATTATGTTATTTATTTTCTTCATCAAGGGCATTTTAATAACTTCCTTTATTAAAGATGCAGTCAAGGGTTTACATTTTATTTATAATATAATCTCTTTATACTCCTTTTTGAATATTGAATAATACGACATTGTTTTGTTTAACAAAATGGGCCACAATTGTACTCACCAAGACTTGCATCTCCCAAACATTACATTGGAAATCGAAACTAAATAATTAGCTCCTTACTCTCTCCTGAATAAGCATCTAACCCATTGTTACCAAAACACGATAATTGAAATTCTAAATGTGAGCATACAGATACAAAGACAATAACAAAATCGCTACTTAAGTCATGGAATGTTCTGGGTATGCTAGGAGCTCAATGCGAGTAGTTACATCACCTAATTAAGGCATCTGTTAACCTCGACCATGAGCTTCATTTACAAAGTCCATTAATACCAATTATGAGTAAGAATACATAAAAACATTCTCTAATCCAGTTCTGTCAATCCTCTTGCTCCAAATAATTTTCCTTCTCACTGCATCTCTCCACAACTACCTCACTGTCTAAAAAAATGTAGCACCCTGCCCCTTAAAAAAAAAATATACAAATTCAAGTCATTTTGACTACTTTAAGCATGCAAAATAATAACCACAGCAACATGTCACCTGAAAGACAGTTGCATGCTTTCCTCTCCTTTTTTAAGGTAAAAGAACAAAGTAATCATATACCAGATACACCTTAGAGCTTGTGTGAAAGTGATTTTTTGAAAAGTGATTTTTTTCGGAGAATGTGTGTTATTTTTTTGGGAATGTGGGGTTGAAAATGAGTGGCTGTAAGTGATTTTAAAATCATCACTTCCAAACAAGGGCTTAATGAACTTAGGAAAAGATACCCATTGAGAAGGTCAACAGGCATAACTCAAAAAAGCCTTGCACATATTTATGTGGGGCCATGGGTCGATTACATGGATTTGCTTCTTCCATTTGCCATATCAAGAGTCATCTCCAAATTTAAACCACAAAGGCTCAAATCCTATCTAATTACAAGATTCCAGGACTTCTTTGAAAGAGGAAAGCATCCCAGGAAGATTAGAAAAAGAAATTGAGGGAGTATCAAATCCATCATTGCATCATCAATGTAGTTATTTTTCAATACTCAGTTAGAAAATACATATAGTATTAGCTAATTTTTTTTTTTTTTTTTTTTTTTTTTTTTTTA